TCAATTTAGATTCTGAGTGTTGTCACCCTGTGATTACAATCACACAGACTCTTCCAAGCTTATAGCTGGAGCTCCTGGAAGCTTTTTTATACTCTGGTGCAAGGACAAAAAAAAACACAACTCAGGAAGGAATTAAGTCCTGAATTATTGGCTTCATCACATCCACCCTCTCCACTCCCAAAATAGCACAAAAGAAACAGTGACCATACCCTGTAGATCTTTTGGTGTAAAAGAGGTGATGAAGAACTGGGGTGGGAACAGGTCATAATGATCTGTCTAAAAAAGGTCCCTTTTTGGGAAATTTGTACACACCACCAAGAAATGAGCCTCTCATCAATCAGGGTTAGGAAACTAAGGTTCAATTCTCAAGAAATCATAATTTCATTCATTTACTCCATATGAATTTACAGGGTGCCTATACATTATCAGTTTCCACTTGCAGCCATTTCTAGATAAAAAAGAAACCTGACATCTCTACAGGGGCCACCAAGTTCCCCAAGTCTACCACTGAAAGGACCTTTTTGGAACTAGGTTTCTTCTGTGCCTCTGAAACACCTTAAAGCTGAATCATCTTTAACCTGGAGGTCAAACGACATTCAGCAATACTTGCATCCCAGATATACAACATTAAAAGATACACTAAATTCTGAAGGTAGCTATGCTGCAAAATAATTTAAACAACTCAACAGCATTCATTTATGCTTGAAATTCCAGTCCTAGACAAACCTTGTGACCATCAGCACTTGACGTTCTTGCCACCCAGGAGAGCTGACAGTGTCAGCTGATACCTGGCTTTAGGATTTGAGTGTATCCTAAACCTATCATCAGGCTGGAGTTGTTTATTTTAGTGGAGAAATGGGCTTCAGGGCCGATCTGATATTTGGCTGCTATACCAAAGTGAGTGTTACTGTTTTCTGCTGTCCCAGCAAGACTGACAGCAGTCTCCAACTTCTTGCTCACCTTCTGGTAACTGGAGCCGCCAAACTCTGTCCCGCCATTCACATTAGTGTTAGGTTGGAATTCATCAGTTTTGTAGCCAACCACAAAGTTACTCTGGGTCACTCAGAACTTTGTGGTCTCAAAATTCACCTGGTAGCTGGCCAGCCAACCCTCATAACCCAGCACTAGAGCATCTCAGAATGAAGGCCCAGCCATGTTCAAATCCACGTCATAGCCCAGGTTAATGTGCTCCCACTTGTATCCTGTTTTGATTTTAGCATTTTTCCCCCAAGTGTTAGGGGAGAAGGATGAACGCAAGGTCAGCTTCGGTCCATGTGCAAGCTGATCTTCCATGGTAATCTTGGTGCCTAGTGTGTGTCAGTGTTCCATTTCTTCATAAATGTCAGGCCATATTTGGTACGTCTGTACTTGCTTTCCAGACTGCCTGTCACTTTGGTGGCCTCAGTGTTGGCTGAGCCTGAGCTTGTAAATTCTAATCCATTCTCAGATTTTGTTTCAAATCAGGTTATATTAAGCCAAATCCATATACCTTGGTGAAGACATGCTTGGCAGATTGGCCAAGATTAGCATATGTGGGTGGCACAGCAATCTTCTTCTCAGAGACAATGCCAGTGGGTTCAGAGGTGTCTATGGTGAAGGCTGCAGCTCCACTACCTATTTTTAAAAACATTCTAGACACACACTCCCTAGCATTCAGCTCCAGGCCTAACCAGGCCTTAGAAGAGAATTCATACTTTATTTTCTACCTTCTGCTGTTCAGCTGCATGTTACACTGGAGGAACATAAAACAATGTCACTGAAAATATATGTCAACATATTAATAATACATAATGATTTATTTACTTTTGCCTTAATTACCCTTCTAAATGAAGAATTACAGATGTATTACTAAAGACAATGAATTATTTTTTTCAAAAAGTAATGCTGTTTGCTTTTTCCTAAATGAACAAGTTAACAACAACAAAAAACACCAAGTACATGACCAATTAAAATGAAACTTAAACTAGAATGCTCTCTTTTCTGAAATAACAACAAAAATGTTATGGGATGAACAGCTGAAAAATATCAACTCAACAAAACCATATTTTACTAAAATAGTTTATTGCAATAAGATAGTCACTGTATTCAAAATCAATACAAAGTAAGTTATTAAAATTATGTACATACAAATGAATAAAACTATGTAATTAGGTAAGTAAACAGCATCAACACAATTTTAGCCTCTAAATCAATATATAACTTTCTAAGGCTTGTTAATAAAACCTTAAGAAATACAGTGAAGAAATAGCAAAGGAAAAATAGCTCATCATAGTGGTTAAAATTCAATGATTTCCATAAGAGCAAAAAGCCCCCATCAAAGTATATTTATGAGACAAATAATTTATTATTTTGAAGGGTAGCTGTAGAAAAGTCTGATTCACTTCTGTTTACAGCAGTCTAGGGAATTATGATTAAATAGCGTATTTTTCCAAACTTCACACATCCTAGACGTATGTCCCCAACAGATTTTTCTTCAGTATTAATATGGTAAAGTACATGGCATTTCATATTTTATATATATATAATATATGTGTGTGTGTGTGTGTGTGTGTGTGTGTATATATATATCTATATATATATATATATATATAT